TGCCTTCAGTCATCCAGATGAGTTTGAAAAGTATTTCCAAGAATGGAATTGCAGATTTGACAAATGTATTAAGTGTAATGGAGAGTACATTGAAAGTGATAAAATTGTTTTGTAAAAATATTTAAATTCATAGCTTGGAGGTCAGGGGGTTCCAGGTTCTTTTGGGTACCCCCTTGTATATCCAAAGTGTGTAAGACAAGTCATACCATCCTTGCCTCTAAGGAGCACTCTGGCCTTACTTCTTTCATCACAGGTCAGTTTGTTCTTTTAGCAGTCCATGGTACTTTTAATATTCTTCTTCAGCATCACAATTCAAATGCATCTATTCTTCAGTCTTCCTTATTCATTGTCCAACTTTCACACGCATATGAGAATACCATGGCATAGGTCTGGCACACCTTAATCCTCAAATTAACTTCTTTGTTCTTCAATACTCTAAAGAGGTCTTATGCAGCAGATGTAACTAATATAATATGTCTTTTGATCTCCTGACTGCTGATTCTATGAGCATTGATTGTGGATCCATGCAAGACAAAATCCTTGTCAACTTTACTAATAAGTTCATGGAATATTTGAATTAAAAAATAATGGGATATACTATGTAAAATATCCCATGTACCTGCATCCTACATTGTGACAGGGCTCTGAGAAATTCGTGAAAAAATTAAGTGAAAAGGTAATGGAAAATTTCCGTGAACTTTTTGGAGCCTACTTCGTGTACTACATAGTATGGTCGGAAGTAACCGTACATACTAACTAATATGAGATGTGTGTTCACTGCTTCCTCCTTTTCTTGGCTCAGCTTCCTGCTCCACAGTCTTTCCAACAGCCCTTTTCCTACGAGTCTAACATTAGATGCATAAGCAGCATCCAAGAGGCAATTGTGGAGTGTTTGGGTTTTAAAGCTCATCAAATGGACTTTCAAATCAGCAGATCTTCACAGTGAGCATGAAATGTAATCATGACAACTGTGAAGTGATGTTGATAGTATCAATAGTCTGTAAGCCATCTTTTTTTTCCTGTAAGCCATCTTTATGGAATTATTCACATTCAAATTAAATACAGAGGGCTTGACGCATGATTTTTGAAGTCAAGGTTTTAGGGTATTCAGTATAGAACTAATTCATGAGTGGCTTTAAAAAGAATAATGTTCGTGGCATACATATTGAGAGCAATAGGCCATCTTTAAATTTGAAAAGGATATTCTCACACTGGGAATCAAAACTTTTTGTTTTGGTTGTTGGAAGGGGCCCTGGTGGCGTACTGGTTAAACATTCAGCTGCCAACTGAAAGGTCTGTTTCAGCCCTACCATCTGCTGCATAGGGAAAAGCTACAGCTATCTGCGTCTGTAAAGACGCTGGGGAAGCCTGATGGGCAATGCTACTCTGTCCTGTTGTTAGATGTTGTCAAGTAAGTTCCGACTCCTGAATAGCAGAATAAAGCACTGCCCAACCTTATGCTTTGTTTACAACGATTGCTGCAACCACTGTCAATCCATTTATTTGAGTCTTCCTCTTTTTCACTGACCCTCTACCAAGCATGATGTCCTTCTCCAGGGACTGGTCCCAAATTACATATATATATATAT